GCACAGTTCTAACTTTTAAGATGAAACCCTTATGTCCAGACTCAGTGTGACTCGCCGTAACATTCACCCACTAAGTTCTGTAATTTTGAGTTATACAGGCAGACTAGAAAATAGATGAAGAAAGCTACATATCCCCTTAGAAAATATTCAGATTTACAAGTGAGATATGGCCATTAAACAATTTCTAGACCTCTCACCTTCCACAGTGCTTTCTCTAGTCCCTGTTGTTATGCGGGTCTTAGAACTGGTACTAGGTCAGACGACTAAGACAGAGTACAGTGGAGTATCTTCTTTTCATGCTTTGTTTACTACATTTCTATTACTGTCAATTAAGGTGGCATTCTATGTTGTAGGTCAAAGTGTTTATATTCCAAATTTATCTATAAATCTCTAAAGATTTCTGGCATTTATTGATCATCTACTGTGTTCTAGACACAGAACATACAAAGATTTGGAAGTCATGGTGACTAATTGAAGGAGCATTGCTCTTAGTGTGGGAAGACAAAACTATGTGTTGGTTACCATTATATGCAAAGCACTCTGGGAACACAGGGAGGAAGTCCCTTATTCTCTTTGGTTAAATTGAAGGTCTTTTGAAACATGGTGTAGTTTGAGTTGAACTTTGATAAATGATGAACAACTTTACAGGTTGAGAAGAGGAAAAGTGAATTCCAGAGAGAGAATACTGGATTTGTAAATAGTATAGACATAAAAAATGATACACTGTTTGGGCATGAAAAGGTGGGAAATGGAATTAATGAATGGACTTTCTGGAGAGTGGTCATGGCTGTCTTCACTAAGCAGATCTAACTCTTGGGATTTGTAAGTGTCCTCTGAAAGGTGCTTCACTCACTGAAATCTCAGGACATATCTGACTCCAACAAACCTTGTGGTGGGTACTTGGGCATTCATGTGAAAGTCTTTGTCTGCTAGGGCGATAATATTGTATTCACAAAAGATATTTTAATTACCTTCAGTGCTGGACTTTTAATGCTTTCCAGTTTGAAAATGACCTAAATAAGTTCAGAAAGAGCTTAGAAATAATTCCCTTAAAGGACAATTGCACAAGGTTTGCTTACATAGTACATGGTACACATCTAATTCAGGGAAAGGAGAATGAATGGTGCTGCCTTGAATTGGTGATAAGATCTGGGAGAAAACCCATAGGCATATGCTATCATCATGTTCTTGAACCTTGATTATTAATTTTTTTAGGAATTAAACATAGTCATTATTAAAATCAATAAAATAAACTTACAGTTTAAAAGAGTCTACTAAAAACAAAGATAATAAAAACTTGAAATGTCTAATTATTTTACTATATTTTATCTTTATCTATGCAATGGTGTTGTTTGTGTCACTTATATAACTACTAGAGGCCCAGTGCATGAATTCATGCACAGGTGGGGTCTGGCTGCCTTGGCCCCAATTTGGGCAGATAGGGGCTGGGCCTATGGGTAAAGGAGATGGCGGAAAGTTGGCCAGCCATCCCCATGCCCTATTGGGGTGGGGGGTGTGATCAGGGGCAGGCCAGCTGGGGGGAGGGGCTACAGGCCTATATTGTGGTGAGGCGGGCTGATCAGAAGCAGGGCTGGCAGAGGGAAGGGAGGGGGCAATTGGCCAGCCTGATCCACTTTTTTTTTTTTTTTTTTTTTGGCTTAAAATGCTCATTTAATGTATGAAAAATACCCAAACAGTACAAAAGATCAATGAAATCAAGAGGTGGTTCTTTTTTTTTTTTTTCATTTTGCATAAAGGATGGTTTTAATACCTTACATTTCAAATGAATTACAGAATAGAAACCATTCCTGGCCTCATTTTCCAAAAGAATTACCCCAGCAAGTATTTTTTCTGCTGCTCAAAACCCGAACGTGAGCTTGTTCATCCTAAGATCCTGGGACCACAGTTCTTCTGACACTGCTTCCGGGGCCACTCGGTGCAGTGGTGGTGGAGGCACACCAGAGCCCACCATGGGCCCCATTGGCCAAGTTACCTTTTCTGCCTCAACAGCTGGCTCCATTCTTGATCAGAATGCAAGAGTCTGATCAGGGGCGGCTGGCAGGGGGGAGGGGCTGAGAGGTTGGCCAGCTGGCCCCACCCCCTGATTGGGCTGGTTTGCTGGCCACAGTTGGCATCATAGTGACTGGTTGTTACAGATCATTATGGCCATTATGGTCACAGGCTTTTTATATATAAAGACTAGAGGTCCAGTGCATGAATTTGTGCATGGGTGGGGGGTTCAGCCAACCTGGCTCCAATTGAGGATGATGGGGACTGGACCTGTCAAGGGGAGGAGATGGCAGGTGGTTGGCTGGCTGGCCTGCCTTGATGGGAACCCAATCAGGGCTGGGACAGCTGTGGGGAGGGCCTGTGGATGATTGGCCAGCAGACCTTGCCCCAGTTGGGGTTGGGGGGCTGATTGGGGGATAGTGGCCAGGGGGAGGGGCCATGGGTGGTTGGCTAGCTGGTCCTGTACCCTGTTGGGGAAGGGGAGGGCTATCAGGTGTGGAGCCAACCAGGGGGAGGGGCTACAGGTCTATTGTGGTGGGGCCAGCTGATTGGGGATAGAGTCAGCTGATCAGTTGGCTTGGGAGAAGGGCTAGGGGGAATTGGAGGGCATTTGGCTGGCCCACCCCACTTTTGATTGGGGTGGAAGAGTTTGATTAGAGTGGGCAGGTTCTGGGGTAGGGCCACAGGAGCTTGGTTGGCCGGCCCCACCCCCTGATTAGGCCAGTTTGCTTGATGGCCACAGTGGGTGTCACAGCAACTGGTTGTTGTTGATTTTGGTTGTCATAGTTGCTGGCTTTTTATATATACAGATAGTATAAATACTGTATAATAGTGTTCTGCTGAGCATGTCTTAACAACTCCAAATTCAGGGGTATCATGTTGGTAGTTTGACATGATTGGAGTATTGAAGCCATCAACATTGGCAAATGGTAGAAGTCAGCTAATAGTACAACTAGATAGCTGGTAGGTAAACATTTACCAACAGACCACTGGATCACAACCACCTTTCTTCAATATTTGTTAAATTTTTTTTGCAAGGATTATATTTATATTGGGAGATTTAAAGCTTAAAGAACTGCTAGACTTTGTTTTGTTTAATCCCTTAACCTTTTTCCTATATAATTTTAATCAATGTTGCCCCAATAAATTCAATAAAAACAAAACAAAACAAAATGACAAAAAAGGAGAAGTGGTGAACTAAATTGATGTGAATATGGTCCTCTATCAGCAACAGTGAAATTTTTTACCTTAGTCTTTGAGGAATGTTGCACTTCATCAAACTTCTGCATGCAGGGTCACTAAAGGACCCAGACCTGACTTTGTTTTGAAAAAATGATTTGACCCCTAGCCAGTTTGGCTCAGTGGACAGAGTATTGACCTGTGGACCGATGGGTACTAGATTCATTTCTAATCAAGGGCACATGCCTGTCTTGCAGACTTAATCCCCAGTAGGGGCCATGCAGGAGGCAGCAATCAATGATTATCTCTCATCATTGATATTTCTATTTCTCTCTCTCCCTTCCTCTCTGAAATCAATAAAAACATATTAAAAAAATGATTTGATTCTTTTATCTTTCCCCATCAAAACTTTCATATCTATTTGTCCTCCAACCTGTAAGTAATAGATCTATGTTTTTGATTCCCACCAGGATTTACATGCATGAGAATATATTCTTGTGTTAGCCATTCAAAACCCTGCCCTTTTAGTGATTGCTTACTAGAGCACTGCATCTCTGAGGCTGGAATGCCAGACAAGTGGAGGGTGGGTGGGAAGGTGGGGAGTCATGAAACCCCACCACTGATTCTACCTATATTTAAATTAGTTCTGGGTGTTACAAACAATCTCATCAGAAGAATTATTTTTAATTTTTTCATTTATTCTACAAATATTTACTCTTTGAGCTGGTGAGGAATGAATAATTAGAGAAAATAAATCCATTGGTACAACAGCAAACATAAGAGTCACTGCTCTGATATGTAATTGGAGGGGACAAGGTTTTCAACCTAAGGTGAACCTCTCTTTTGGATGAGGAGCATCTTAGCAAGAAATAAATGAATTTTTCAGAAAGTCAGAGAAAAGGGCACCTTGATTAGGAAGGGGTTAGCTTGGGGTGACACCAGAAAACATAATGAGAACCAGGGGGTCACTAAGGGAGTCACTTTCCCAAAGCTAGGCAATCTGTATCCACCAAAGGAGCCCCGTTCCCTGCCTTGTTTATTTCCACATAATGGACTTTTATAAGTACCACGTGCTAACCGATTGCACCACTGGAGCTTCTCCACATAATTGACTTTTAAAAAGCTTGATATTTGCAATAAATTTGTAGATTTGTTGTCTTAAACTTTAAGACTTAAAGTAACTGGCGCTAGTAGTACTTTCTTGATAAGTGAAGTCATCATAGTTTACTGCAAAATGTAGTTTGGTAAATTAAAATGTATTTGTAGAAAGAATTTGGCAGAATATTTGAAATTGGGGATATTTTTTAAAAATCCAGGATAGATGAAAGCTAAGAGAATGCAGTGACTCTGAGGACCAAGTTACTGGAATATCTAAAGATTTTTAGCTGGGGGAGGAAAGTGATGAACCTAATGTTTAATTCCAAAGGGAATAGGCTTTCAGGAACATAACACACACACACACACACACACACACACACACACACACACACACACTGGCATATCGCTGATCAGAGAACATGGCCTGGCTACTTTGCCTTGAATAAAAGCCATGTACTTTCTTGTATTGAAAGCCCCACTCCTGGCTCCCCAGACTCCGGGCTACTTTCAGAGTTATTGCAGCTGCTAGTGGGTATAGGGAGCATGCCCATGGTGGTCTATGAGAGCTTTGGTAAAGACAAGGGAGCACTGGGGACTCACTATAGTTGTCATTCAGAGGCACAGAGGGACAAACATCTAAGGAAACTGACAGAGTTCTTCCCATCCAGCTGTCCTCTGTCTCCTCACAGAGCTCCTGGCTGGGTCCCTCAGGCTCATTCTAGTGCCTTGGGAAGGCCTTTCAGCCTCTGCATAGCACAGCCTTGAATGTCTCATTGCAGAGGGTGAGGATAAAGGGGTTCAGAAAGGGAGTGAGGACTAACGTCACCAAGTCTACAGTCTCATTGACTTCCACAGAATGTGCCTTGTCAGGCCTGTCATATAGGAAGATGGTACTGCTGTAGCCAATGAAGGCCAGGGTGAGGTGGGACCCACATGTAGAGAAAGCCCTCTGACGGCCACTGGCAGAGGGGACCCACAGCACAGTGATCACAATGTAGCCATAGGAGAAGGGGGTCACCAGGAAGGAGCCGAGGACAAAGGCTAAGGCCATCACGAAGTCCCAGAATTCCAGCAGGCTGGTGTCTGAGCAGGATAGCTGCAGCAGAAGTGCATTGTCACAGAAGAAGTGGTTAATGATATTGCCATGGCAATAACTAAGATGAGTCCAGGAGCTACCATGGCGAGGAAAGGAGCTACCTAGGCCAGCTCATCAAAGTGCCAAAGCGCAGTGGGTGGCAGATGGCCACAAAGCAGTCAAGGGCCATGTCTGACAGGATGAGGAAGGAGGTGGATCCCAGGGAAAAGTAGAAGTAGAACTGGACCGGGCAGTTCCTGAAGGAAATGACCTTGTGGGGGACCAGCAGGTCTGAGAGCATCCTGGGCACTGTAGTTGTGGTCGCCAAGATCTCCAGCAAGGAAAAATTGCCCAGGAAGTAGTACATGGGAGTCCATAGGTGGATGTCAGCTCTGACAGAGACTGTCATGAAGGCAAGAAGATCAAGCACGAGGAAGGGCCCACACAGCAGAACCTGCAGGTCACCGAAACATGAGAAGCTCAAGTGGACAAATTCAGAAGGGTGGCTTAGATTTGTCATGATCCAGGGGCTGGGTCCTGCAGGGAAAGGAAATGAGGAACAGATGGAAAGGCGGACATAGCAATAGATTAGATAGATAGATAGGTAGATAGGTAGATAGATAGATAATAGATGAGAGAGAGAGAGAGAGAGAGAGAGAGAGAGAGAGAGAGAGAGAGAAAATAATTGACTCCGAAACATAAAGAGAACAGGGTGAAATAGGCAAGTAGGTGGTCAGTGATAAACAGAAGGGCAGAGAGAGAAAGATAAAGGTAACAACATGGGAGTGTGAGAATCAGGGGAGTTAAGGAGTCATAGAAGTAAAAGCATAGGAAGGCATTAATAAGGTGAAAGAAAAACACAGAGGAGCAGATTAATAAAGGAAGACAACACAGCAACAGTCATGGACATTTAGGAAGAAGGCAAATAAGAAAAAAATAGGAAGAGCAAATATGTGAGAGGGAAAAACCAGAAAAAGAAAAAGACAGGGAAGAGGAAACACAGAAAGAAAGAGAATTAGTGTGTCTAGAGTGTGTGTATTGTAGGGCTCTGTGTCATGACCCAGAAACTGTGTCCTTTCAAATCTTTCTATGCTGTCTCTCTGTTGAGGACTGTCACTCATGCAAATTGTTCCAACTAGGATCATGCAATTAATGAAAAGTCACAGGGTTTTTTTGTGTTTTTTTTTTTTTTAAAAAATATATATTTAAATTTCTTTCTTGATTAAGGAATCACATATTTGTCCTCAATCCCCCATTCCAATCCTCCACCTCCCTCCTATTCATGCCCCCACCTCCCTATTGTCCTCGACCACTGGTCAGGCTCATATGTTTGCACATAAGTCCTTTGGTTGATCTCTCTCTTTCATCCCCACCCTCCCTTTGAGGTCCAGCAATCTGACCCATGGCTCCTTATCTCTGGGTCTGTCCTTGTTCATCAGTCTATGTTGTTCACCATTTCCCCTAGACGAGTGAGATCATATCCTACTGGAAATATAAGATTAAAAAATGAGACAAGCAATAATCGCTATGCTGAAAGGCATAAGATTGTTTTAGAGTAATAAATTTGACAGTAAAATAGTAGACAACTTTTCAGGCTAATTTAAATTGGCTAATTGAAATAAGTGAATATCCTAGAAAAACTAATTGCACTGGACAAAAAGCTGTTCCTAAAGTATTTACTAAAATTTTTATTGGTAGTTCATCTCAGGATAAACTTTCACAACAGGAAATGAACCTAAAGCAGTCATATTATTGTGCAAAAAAATTAAAATTTAAAAGCTATCAAGACCATGTTATAAAATTTTCAAAAGCCTCCTAATATTTAAGTCAAAAAAGGGGGAAAGTAGAAGAATATCATGTAAGGAAAAAATATCCTGACAGTCACAGTTTTGAGTCAATAAATTTCTTTTATATATATATATATATATTTAATTGATTTTTTACAGAGAGGAAGGGAGAGAGATAGAGAGCTAGAAATGTCAATGAGAGAGAAACATCAACCAGCTGCCTCCTGCACACCCCCTACTGGGAATGTGCCCATAACCAATGTACATGCCTTGACCGGAATTGAACCTGGGACCTTTCAGTCTGCAGACCGACGCTCTACCACTGAGACAAACTAGCTTCAGCGAGTCAATACATTTCTTTAGGGAGATATTCTAGTATTATTTGCAAAGATAGAGAGCAGAAAGGACATTGGGGGTCACAGAAATAAGCCTCAGGACCAAGCAACTGCTCTGCCAGCAACTGGAAGGTCATCAGCATTCTGCCTAATGGGGCTGCTTTGCTGCTGCAGTCTTCTCTGTGCCCTCCTGACTCTCCTCACTTTCACATGGTGATTGGTGGAGGTATGACCTTGGACTGTGCTTGAATTCTGGTGTGACACTTGCTTGTTGTGGAGTATCAGTCTGCTCCCCTTTATTACTTCCCTGTCTGGACCTTTACTCAGCTATAAAATGAAGCTAATTAAATAGTACTAGCTTCCAGGGCTGCTGCAAAGATTAAATGAGTAAACTACCCGGCACATGCTAGGGGCTCAACAAGGAGTTCTTATCATTGTTCTCATTGTTCTTGTTACAGCTACCAGGGAACTCATATTGCCTTGGCCCATCATCCCTTCACCTTCTTTGGGGCCAACATGTATGAGAATGTGTGTGTGTGTGTGTGTGTGTGTGTGTGTGTGTGTGTGTAAATATTTCCATAGCTTTACAATGTTCATTGGAATTTTAGGTCACTGAAAGTATACTTTTTAAAACTGCCAACTGTCCAAAAAAAAACAAAAAAACACCCCCACACAAATCAGTACTGTGTGTAGGTATACTATAGCTTTCTCTCTGGCCCATAAAGGCTGCACCTGAGACTGTGTCCTCAGCACCAGCAATGGCATTCCAATTTAAAGAAGAGAATTTGTCCCTCCACCAGTTTTGTACCCATCTCACTGACAAACCTTAACACTAGATCTAAAATATATACCCAGCCCTGATGACATTCAAGCCCACCCTTATGTCTGCTACAGAGCTTGTCCCATATGTAACTCTAAGTCACTAACCTTAGTCTCTAAGCAGTGTCTCCTTCTAGAATCGCTCACATTAAGTAATCATCTCTAGAGATTCTTTCCTAATCGGTCCACTCTGTGACATGAACAACATGAAATATGTGGTCCATTGCTGTTGGGAGGGTGTTGCAGCTGGCAGGGGTGTACTGAGGCTTCTGCATAGCTGGAACAGTTGGCACTTCTGGGTGGGTGACATCTCCAATCTTCAAGCTGACATCTTTGTTAAAAAATATATATATAAAAATATATATATATATATATATATATATATATATATATATAATTGATTTTTTACAGAGAGGAAGGGAGAGAGATAGAGAGCTAAAAACATCGATGACCGGAATCGAACCTGGGACCTTTCAGTCCACAGACTGACGCTCTACCACTGAGCCAAATCGGTTTCAGCCATGCTGACATCTTAAATAAAGGCTTACCTTGTGTCACCAAGTCTAGGGGCTGGAATGTGAGAAAAAAGTCCTTTTGGAGACAAGAGAGTAAAGATGCTGTTTCTATCCCTTCTCTTCCAAGCATGACCATTCTTGGTTCTCCCTATTCACTGTCTCCAGGCCCTTCGTTTCTTCATGAAGTTTAGAGCTGACCTTATGCTAGATGGTAGCAGAGTGATCTCCATGAGCATGATGGGAAACCAAAGGGTCCTCGGGAGATTATGAGACACTGGTGTTATTGCTTAGATTAAGAGAACTTTGTTCTGAGGAAGTAACATTTGAGAAAAATATTTGAATGAAGAAAAGGATAGAGACCTAGATACACTTAAGCAGCTGATGGCTTAAGGATTGGTCCCATGGCAGTGCCTGTATCCTGGCCCTTTTCTTCTGAAGTAAAATAAGATGAGAAAGGCACAAAGGAATTTCTGAGCTGGACTAAGATTATGGTAGCTGAGGTGCATGACCAGGGTTAGATCCAGAGTTTCCTCTCAGAGATTTTTGTCTCCCTCTCAGATCCAAGATTTTGAAACCTGGGAAACAGGGAATATAGACCCTGGGCCATAGCAGCTTCCTATCTGAATTTTCCAATGTCATCTCTAGAAGTCAGGGAATTGAAAGAGTTAACTTAGGAGGAGACATATTCCTTTCAGAAGTAGGCGGCCCCCCCCCCCCCCCCCCCACTAGACACATCTTGGGAAATGGCCAAATGGAAGGGTTTGTCCATGACTCATTTGAGAAGATGCACACCTTGGGGATGAAGGTGAAGGCAATATGGTAGAGGACTGGGGTTTCCAGTCAGCTCTGAGTCATAGTTCTTTTTCTTAGAGCTCAGTTTTTATGGTTGCCACCCACATAGCCCCACCTACACCCACAGACAGAAATAATGACAAAGTGATATCAAGTAAAATGTTTCCAGTGAAGACAGTGCAAATGGGTTTTGGGATCAAAACCCACAAGAGTTGGTCAGGGTTGGCCAGGCAATCTTCTGTAGGTCCTGAAACTTTAGGGTTTTTGTGATGGAGCCATTAATCACTAAGATTTTAGGTCATTCAGAAAGAAAAGGGGGATAAAGGTAGAAAGCAGCATATTGCTACTCTGGAGCTCAGGCAGGCAGAAGGAGAGCTTTTCAAAGCAGAGTTGGAGACAGCACATCTTGAGAATTGAAACAAGTGTGTGGCTGGGTGTGGGCTTTCATAACTGTGTTCGTATTCTATTGCTTCTGTAGCAAAGTAAATGCTACAAAATGCTATTGCTTCTGTGGCTCTCAATGCTGCCACAAGTGTGGTGGCTTAAACACTACCCATTTATTATCTTACACACCATACAGGCCAGAGTTTGGCACAGGCCTGAGTGGGCTAAAATCATGGTGTCACCAGGGCTGTGCTCCATTCAGGGGGCTTCTTGCTGTATCCAGAGGCCAGAGGTTGCCCATATTCTTTGGATCATGGTTCCCTTCTACCATCTCCAAAGCCAGCAACACTGCATGTCTCTGATTTATCTCTGACCATGGAATCTCCCTCTGACACTCACCTTAGCTAGGAAAGGTTTTCACTTCTATGGATCTCAATGCAGCCACCTGAATCATTAAGAATAACCTCCCCATTTCAAGATCCTTAATCAGATCTGCAAAGTCTTTATTGCTGAGTAATATTACAAATTCTTAGGGGCCAGGCATGGGAAGCTTTGGGGCACCATTATTCTGCCTGCCCGCTGGCCTCTTGGCTCATCTGTCCCAATACTACAGGTTGGATGAGAGCCTGATGCTTCAGGGTCCTCTACTGTGAAGTTGCTTCTGCTAACCCAGCACAGGGCCAACTCCCCTTGGCACCCACTCAACTACCTTGGACACTGAGATTGTCATGAGCTATTCACTTAAGCTCACGGAGTAACCAAAGAGGAGCACTTAATTATTGATATTGATAAGAACAATCCACATTCAGTGATAGGTAGCTATTGTAAGATAATGCACTTTATTTAGCTCTAAACTTTTGTGTTTGATTATGAGAACTTCATGGACAG